TATTAGAAAAAAATATATATTATTAAAATTATATTAATAAAATATATATTATTAGAAAAAATATTGGCTTTAATTAACAATAAATCGGTTAGAAGAACTCGTTAATCGTTACAATCTGAGAAAAATAATTTCGAAAAAAGTCACAAAATATATTTAAAAAAAAAAAACACTAAATATATTTAAAAAAAGGATAATTATTCAGTTTAACGGTCCACCTCAAATATCGATAAAATTATGCTCATTCGACGCGTTTTTGCACAAAACAAAAGAGTATAGCAGAGAAAAGTGTCGCTGTGCCCCGCGAAGCGAGATATTAATAGTTAAAGTTGACGACTATTTAGATTACAAAATCTGTCATATCGACGAAATACAGCGACATGAGTATATTCCAGTCATCGACATAGAATGGACTGCTGATCAGTGATGCCATGATGAGTGATGCCAGAAACGGGTCCCGCGGCTCACGGCTCAGCAATGGAAGGGGTAAAGGTGCCTTTACATGGCAGCGTTAAGGTGCCATTACATGGCAGCGTTAAGGTGCCATTACATGGCAGCATTAAGGTGCCATTACATGGCAGCGTTTAGCGTCGAGCGTCTGCGTAGAAAATTGCGCAGAATCTAATTTCAGCCTAGAATCTATCTCTTTTAAATTCTGCGCATTTTCCTGCGCAGACGCTCGACGCTTAATGCTGCCATGTAAAGGTGCCATTAAGCGTCGAGCGTCTGCGCAGGAAAATGCGCAGAATTTAAAAGAGATAGATTCTAGGCTGAAATTAGATTCTGCGCAATTTTCTGCGCAGACGCTCGCCATTGCGGTTAACGCTGCCATGTAAAGGCACCTTAACCGCACGAGTAGAGTGAGAGGCAGATAATATGAGATTAAGGTTATATAAAAGAAGGTTATTAAGTCTATAGACATAGTATATCTAAACCTTAGAACATATATAAATGGAAAGGGAATGCCTTTGTTTCCCGATAGAAAAACATGTCGGAAGGAAGTGAGAAAGAAAATCATAGTTGCCTCTCTCTTGTGAGTAACTGCTTAAAAGTGCGCATGTACGGCTTACCGGTTTGGCCCAATGAAAAATAGGTTACATTAGTCACATGTATGTGTACACAAAAGTATGTATACTACAGACACGATGCTTGTATGTGTAGTTACTCACAAGAGAGAGGCTACTACGATTTTCTTTCTCACTTCCTTCCGACACTTCTCAGTTGAGGCTTACTACACCTATTGTAGATCTGGGCTAAGGGTAAGGATATTATATTTGTCGTACGACAAATTTTTTAAGCATACTGATTGGCTGCAAAATAAAAAATTTCTTGAGCCTCTAGAAATTAGCTAATTAATGCGCTTAAAAAGTTTGTCGTACGACAAATGTAATATCACCTAATGGCTTCTGCATATAGAACGCGGAAACGCTTGCCGCGCGGCAAAAGGTGACGCGGTAGCCAATCAACTTACAACTTTTCCATTAAAGCGAAAAATTGATTGGCTACCGCGTCGTCTTTTGCCGCGCGGCAAGCGTTTCTGCGTCCTGTGTGCAGAAGCCATAACGCGTAGCGGAAATCGTCACGCGTCTCAAAGTCTGAGCATACTTTGCGCATGCGCACTACAATTATAAAATAAACTTATTTTGCACGTAATTAAAAAAATTATCAATTCACAAACGTAACATTGGTATATTTGTAAATCACAAACGATTTCCTGTCGATTACAGTTATCAGTTATCATAAAATCTGTTTATTACTAAAAAATATCAGCTGACATTATGACTAAACTAAAATTGTTAATTATAAAAAACCTAATTTGTCACAAACGTTAAAAACAGACTCACAATCAATCACAAACGATTTACAAACGAAATACATTCAGAAAAATTAAAAATTATCATATTTAATAAAATTATCATATTTAATTCTTCCGGCTAGCTTCATGTAGGTGCCCGAGCACAAACTTTTGCATAAGCACATAACCATAAGCATAAGGAAATTGATTGGTCCATTTCCTTATGCATATGCTTATGGACCAATCAATTTCCTTATGCTTATGGTTATGCGCTTATGCAAAAGTCTGTGCTCTGGTCCTTAGGGCCACCGCATAAGCTTTTCCGTAATGCATTACGTTACGTTAAGTATTCATTCTAAACCTAAACTCGTACGTAATCTTAAACTTCAGTCAACGCACAGAGAAAATCGTAACGTAACAAAAGAATAATACGTTACGATTTTGTTTGTGCGTTGACTGAAGTTTAAGATTACGTACGAGTTTAGGTTTAGAATGAATACTTAACGTAACGTAATGCATTACGGAAAAGCTTATGCGGTGGCCCTAAGGACCAGAGCACAGACTTTTGCATAAGCGCATAACCATAAGCATAAGGAAATTGATTGGTCCATTTCCTTATGCATATGCTTATGGACCAATCAATTTCCTTATGCTTATGGTTATGCGCTTATGCAAAAGTCTGTGCTCTGGTCCTTAGGGCCACCGCATAAGCTTTTCCGTAATGCATTACGTTACGTTAAGTATTCATTCTAAACCTAAACTCGTACGTAATCTTAAACTTCAGTCAACGCACAGAGAAAATCGTAACCGTAACATAGCAAAAACAGTTACGATTTTCTTTGTGCGTTAACTAAAGTTTAAAATTATGTATGAATTTAAGTTTAGAGTCAGTACTTAACGTAACGTAACGCGGTACGGAAAAGCTTATGCGATGGCCCTTAATTGTTGGAAGTGCTGCCATAGAAGATTTAAGCCAAAAATATTTAAGTTATTTTTTTTTAATTATTTTTAGTTATCTTTTTTATTATTTTTAATATTTGGTTTAAGATAAGATTTATTATTAGTATTTGGTTTAAAATTTTAATAATTGATAATGCCAATTCCGTATATTTTTTTAAGTTCAACATTTATCGATTTGCATTTAATATTGTTATGCCTCCGGAGAGGCACGGTAGTTAGGATCGTTTGCCGGAAGAAATTTGGGAATTCGGGCTCCGCCCGAGTAGTTCACTGAATTTATTATACTTAAAAATGACACTTTCGTATTCTGAATAAATGTA